TTTTACTTTATAAACGGCCAAGTGTTGCCATAGTGTAATTTAATTCTTAAAAAAGTAAGAAAAATTATGCATGCATGCAAAATTAGTCCAGAAATTAAGCATTAAGAACTTTTTATTAATAAAATTTCTACTTCCCCAAACTGTATTTTGCGGGACTCCAATCAGCCTATGATTTTTTAACATTTAAATAATTGTATTGCACTTTCTCGGTATGAGGACATTGTTAAAAAGTACTGGAGATCCCGTGAGCTTAAGCGCTAACGTTTGGAATTTGTAAAATAAGTTCTACTTCCAGTACGTTTATGGAATTGTTTTTTAAAGCAGAATAATATTTACGAATGCATAATTTTCCTTATAACTGGTTTTGATTTGCATTCTAATTATGTATTAAATTATTTTTTTTTTTTATTTGCGCACTTTATTTAGACCTTACTCTAATTTTTAATCTATGTAAAAATTTTTATAAATTCATGTAATTTTAATTCTATTTTTGAATGGCACGCAAGCAGCATATGTCTCAGACATTTTTTAAACACATGATCTAAAAAAATGTCTGTTAATGAAAAGGAAGGTTGATGAAAGGGGTTAATGAAAAGTAATTTCGTAATACAAATTATAAATGGATTTTTTTTAAATATAATAATAGCAGATTATATGCAGTATTGAATGATATTAATTCTGAAACAAATGCATGATAGATCTTTTAAAATTTGAGAAACTATATCCTATTTTTAAATTCCTACTATTAGCTCACACTATCACTATATCTTGTTCAAATTTTTAATCATTAATAAAATACTTTTTATTCATCCTCTCAAGTTCAAATGCACTTTTTTAACTTGCAGTGGATGACACTTGATGTTAATACAGTTTTTTCACATATTAAAAATTAAATTAAATTAAAAATTTTTGATTATTATTATTATTTGTATTTTAAAAATTTTTCTTTGTTGACCTAAGGAACTGAAATTTTTTCTTTATATTACTTGTTTATTAACGATCTCTCTATTTATGAAAGTTATCCTTCCATCAGTAGTATTGAAATAAATTTTAATTGAACATTAAGAAATAATCCTCAAAAAGAATGTACATTTTACTTTATTTTATTACAGAAAAATAAATGTGCTTTAAATACAGCAACAGGAACAATTACTATGATAGAAATTGTAAAATTATAATTATGATAAATGGCGGCTTATTATTCTACCTTTTGATGATAAAATGCAAGAAGAATCTATTGACCTTCCTGGCACCGATTTTAAATTAACGGATGATGAAATTATGACATGGAAATTAAAATTTTAAAACATTGCTTAAATCCTGTAGATAATCATGAGGCTGCTAATAAAGAATTTGCACTAAAATATATTAAAGATAATAATTTTGAATTAAAAATGAATTCATTGAAAAAATTACGAAATTATTTGACAGTTTGATAAATTTTACTGAAGAAAACGTAAGGCATATAAGAGCTATAGAAGGATCGAGTGATTAAGAAGAAAATTCTGATGATATTTCGAATAAACGAAAGTATATTAGAATTTAAAAGGAAATTAGAGGATAAATAAAATTTACAAATTAAAGATATGTTATAAATGCAAAAGATAGAAGAATATAAAATGTTAGAAACGTTGTAGAAGATCAAGAAGCTGTAACAAAAATGTTTGCTTATGATATTGTTAGCGATGCTATTTATTCAAATGATTTTAGTCTTTTATGTACTATTAGTTCGCTTGGCGTTATTACATTTAAATCTAATTAAAAAAATTGGACTAATATTTAATTTCCGAAATTTACAAAATATGTAATACTGAATGAAAATTCTGAATTTTCAATACAAGGGCTTGTTAAAATCACATTATTCATAAAAACCTATCACTTCAGAATTTGTCGCAGCTCAGATTAAAAAGGGTATTTCGGTTTTTCATTTTGCTATAGATACAAAAAATGATAAATCTCTCTTTTTTTTTTATCATAGTTAGAAGTGATTAGTTAAAATTAAGTTCAAGCAAGTTGTTATTATACCTTATTTGAAAATTGAAGAATTAGATTTGAAACCTGAATTATAGTCTAAATAAAAGGATATTAATTGGGGCGAGTTTTCTAGAAACAGTGCTTTAAGCGAAGACTAAATTAGAAAATTTTTTAAATGCGGTTCACTAGGACTTCATTTCTAGATATGAAAAATATTTGAATTAAATCTTTCATCAGTGAGTATAGAGATAGAATTTTTTGGGGATGATATTTCAGCTTATCAAAAATTATCCGAACCGTTTTTGATTATGCTCGAAAATGTCACTAATTAGGATATTATATCTAGATATATATTACCTGAAAAATTCATTTTAGATAACAAAGATAAAATAAATTTGGATTAAATTTCAGAATGTCAATCCTGAAGTGTAATAATTTTATTTTGTAAAATTTTAGAAAACGGAATATGAAATTAGTTTCTAGATATAAAAAATTAACAGAAAATAATGTTGGAGAGCTAAAAGATATAGTAGATTGGGATGAAATAATTAAATATTAAGATTCCAGTGAAACCTTTTTTAAATAAATAGGAAGATAAAGTTTACTGGTGTAATCCAGATTTATATAGACAAGTAACAGAAAATTTTCTTAAAAGAAATTTTGAAAGAATTAGTATTATATTATTATCTCACATATGTGCATATCTTTAAGAAAAATCTTTACTAATAAGTGGAACTAATAAATACATTCGATAATTTACATTCAAAATAGTATATTATTGGATATTTAGAAAAATCTGTACATAATATAAAAACCATATAGCAAAATATAATGTTAAATATTTAAACGAAAATAATTTATTATTATTTTAAAACGAATTTCGTAAAATTAAACGTTATGAAAGATGAAAGTTTAATTTATTAAATAATAATGACATCATAAAGTCTCGTATGCTTTGGTAACATAAACTCACGAGCTCTAGAAAGACTGTAGAAGAATTATCTTCAGGTCTTTAGGCAGACAATGTCAGAAGAAGGGTGCAAATAGCCCTTTTATTCGATCACAAGGAATTGACAGTCGAACCCCACTTGGGTTCACATAAGCCAACACTTCTGGCTTAACTTAAAACATGTACGAGTAGTGTTGAACTTAAGTAAAATATAATTAGACAAGCCTAACGGCTCACAAGATAAAGTAAACACGAAGGAAGGCTCTGTCTCGTAGAGGCCGGCTTGACGAGTTTATTGGCTCGAAGCACTCAGCGTCACACAATCAAATCGCTATTAAGTCACGGTAACAACGTGGCCTCAAACAGGCAGAACACGCTCAAAAATCAACTTGCGAAACAATTGCTTAAATAGCACTTCATTATACCTTAATCTGAATAAACTCGTAATATCTAATTTATATTCTGGCATGAAAAGCATGGGTGGAAAGAAGAACGACAGAAAAGTTGCTTTAACTCAAAATTAGCTATTAGTCAAAGTAAATAAATAAAGCCTCACAACATTATAGATTTGTTGATAAGATATAATGAATTTTGAATTCTGGTTTTATGAATATCCTAAATAAAAAGGTTTTATGTTGCTTACGTATCTTACTACTGCTGTTTAGGTATAATAGAAAATTTAGATTTTTCTTTATGCTTTATACAATAACAAAATAGAACATTTTTATTTTATAGACCTATTTGATTACTATTAATCTCCAATGTACAGAGAACGAAACATGAGTTTTTCTACTGTAATTAAAGTAAAACATTTTATAGGGCAAAAATAACGAAAAAAGTAAATGATAATAACCAATCCATAGGGATATGTCTGTATATGATACTGGCATTAATTAAAATAGAAAGCACCAAAACGTTTTTGGTGACAACCGAACCTGGGTCTTCCACACAGGAAATGATAATGATAGCGAAACTGTAACAATAATTGTTCAGTCTGAAAACTTAATATTACAGTTTAACACTTCGAAAATTATCTTCATATGTTAAAGTTCTAAAAATATAAAATATCATAGAAATATTTCACTGCTTGATATAAAATCTTATTTTTTGTTTATTTTCATGTTTTCTTATTTATACTAGTTTATTTTCAATAGCAACGGAAATATAACAAACAGCCTACGAGAATTTTATCTTCTCTTAAATAAAACGAATAATTCTTACCGCCAACTTAAAACAATAAATCTCTGTTTTCAAGTAAAAATAGGCTTGAAAAACTTCTTTGTTTACATTTGCCTTTCTTTTCTGTACTTAAATCTGTGTTCGTAAACAATGAGTGAGTGAGTGCACCCCTATGATGGTTTCCGACCATGGACATGAACGAAACGGAATTACTATATACCATCACGGCGGAGAAAACTCCAAAGTAATCTAAGTTGAATATTACGAGGGTCAGTCAAAAAGTTAGTTGCACTGCCTAAGAAAACAAAACAGAAACAAAATTGTACAATAACTTTATTTATATCTTAGAGTTCCATTCAAAATCTACTTTTCAACGTAATTAAGCATTTATCGAGGCGTGGTACAAGTTTTTCGATGTCTTCTGCAATGAAATCCCGTTCAATGTCCGATATCGGCATCCGAATGGTGCCGTCGCTTTGAAAGTTCAAGGGACCAAACACGTGGAAGTCAGGAGGTAAAAAGTCTGGGCTCTAAAGAGCGTGATTCCACACTTCCCAGCTAAACGTTTTCAGAAGTTCGCACGTTTGTTTTGCTGCATGCGGTCTTGCATTGTCATGCAGGAGAACAATGCTTTTCGACAGTTTACGTGGCCGTCGATTTTTAAGTGATTTCCGCAATCGTTTTTGTGTTTCACAATAAGAAGATGCATTAAATGTGGCACCCTTCCTCAAGAACTATTTATGCACTACGCCTTCTCTGTCGAAAAACAGCGTCATCGTCACCTTTCTTGCAGATGGAACAGTTCGACACTTTGAGCGTGTCGCGGAACTGCAATGTTTCCACTCGAGCGACCTGCGTTTCATTTCAAGTGGGAAGGGGTGAATACAAGTTTCATCTCTCACAATTTTGTCCAAAAACCCATATCCTTCCGTTTGGTAACGTTGCAGAAATGCAAATACACTTTCAAAACGCTTTGTTCCTCCGTTAATAGACGTGGCACCCACCGAGTACAAACTTTACGAAATTTAAGGTGATCGGAAATAATTTTATGCACACTTCCATGAGAAATATCCACTTCATTTGAGATTTCGTCTATCATTATGCGTCTGTTTGCAAGAATGCATTCATTCACACGAGCAGCGATTTCCGAATTTGTTGCAGTTGATGGTCTTCCTTCGCGCTTAGCGTTGTCAATATCTGTAGGTCCATTCTCAAACATGTTGCACCATTTCGCGATAGATTGACGTGACATTGTATTTTCACCATACGCTTCATGCAACTGCCCATAAATTTCAGTGCAGTAGCATCTTTTTGCACACATAAAACGAATCACTGCACGCATTTCCAATTTGGACGCTATTTGCAGCTGTCGAGACATGTTTGCAACTGTTTATCAAAAAAATTAAACTTGCCTCGGGATAGCCGCTACATCAAGCGATAAAGGTACATGTCTGAAGTGTTGCCACACAGTGTCATCCAAATAGTCTTAGACGAAACATATTTACGCAGTAGTGCAACAAACTTTCTGACCGACCTACGTACATACTAATACCACTTTCTATAGCTTGATATCTGCAGGCACCAAGCTTTATTCTGATTATCTGCTTTAAATTCTGAACATATGAAACATAATATTATTCACGGTTGTTTCTGCTTACTCAGTGTCTTGAGATTTTCTCTATTTCACCAAGGGCACACTTTGCGTGTGCTAGAGGTCCACATTGCCCAGGCACAGACCGCTGGTTTCTTCAGGTGCCAGGTTCTTGTATGTACACAATGAAAGTAAAATAATGATCCGTGACGCCTTCCTCGCCGCATTAGCAGAAAGGAATATCCCTAAGTCTGAATCTGTTGAGGTATACTAGGGATGGTCCATGACCTGTCAAGAACTGTGTTAGGCTAGTACGGTGGGTCTTTATTTCCATGTTAACTTTTAGCAAGCGGTATGTCCTTCTTCCTACCTCTGACTCTGTCCATCTGCTTTTCCAGTTTTGTAACAAACTTGTCCGCTTAATGTAAGACCAAGTTTAGTTGGTCGTTCTAATAAATCCATGCAGTTGGCTGCGTGCTTGGCCAGCAGGTCAGCGGTTTCATTGCCCTGAATCCCTGCATGAGTGGGAACCCATTTTAAAGTGGGACTTTTTGAGATAGGCATTGCCGGAAGCTGTTTCTGAATTCAGTATACCAAAGGACTCCGGCTGTTTTGACCTACGATAGCCGCCAGATTTGACGCCGAATCGCTGAGTACCGAGAATTTCTGCTGTTAACATGTGTTCGCATACCTAATCGTAGAACTGATAGCTAGAAGTTTTGCTTGGTATACCGAGTTGTTCAAGTTTAGTTTCCCCTTTCACTCGAATGTTACAACACCATTTCCAGTCTACAGAAGGCGCTGCCCATGCCGTTCTCCATTTTGGAGCTATCCGTGAAAAGATTATTACTGTTGCTTTGAATGTGTTGGTCGTTTACGCCGATACTGTCGGAGAGATTAAAAGCAGCTGGATGAAAGTTATTGCAGATGTTTTGCTCTTCGTAATCCTAGTGGTGATAACTATGCCCCTAGGGTGTTGAAGTTTGACCCATCCTGGTAACCCTTACGATAGTTGCCTCCCTTTCAACTATCAAATTTAGGAAAGGTATGCCTGCCAGTTGTTGTAGGGCTAATGTCTCTGAATAGAGAGCAGGGATCTTCTCAGGTGTGAGGTAAGTTCACCAGTTCAGATTGCCGCTCCGTAAGTTATTACTCTTTCTGTAATGGTTCTATGGCATATTTTTAGTAGCTTAGATATACCCCATTTATGTGAAGTCATGAGTCTCATGTTGTTGCTTAGGATGCTAATTCGAGTGTTAAGATTTCTGCCGTGTGGCACCCAGGAAAGTCTTTTGTCGAGTATTAGCCCAAGGTATTTCAATTGCGGGAAACATTGCGTCTAAGCTGCCTGCTGCATCCAATAAATAAAGCTTTAGTTTTCTGTGCTGAAATCTCTGAAGCTTATGTGCTCTGGCCCACTGGGAGAATGGATCAAGACAGTACTGAGATCTCATTTCGAGGTTGCTCCTTCCTGCCACAACTAGCATAAAATCGTCCACGTAGGCTATAATTCGAGCATATTCTACGCTCTCGAAATGCAGAGTTTGACACTATAATCCACAGGGTTGGTCCAAGGCATGAACCCTGTGGGCACACTCTAAAGACATTTTTGACATAAATGTCACTGTCTGATGTTACTTGTACACTTCGATCTTGAAGGTACGAGCGAAGGATGGTAATAATGGCTCTGGGGCAGGCCATGTTGTGCAGCATATGTGTTTTTTTGAAGTTTGAGTTAAGAAACGTTAACCTGTGAGGTAGCAATGGAGAACTTATGATAAGAGAACATCAAAACATATGGTGTTTTAAAGTTCCAAGAAGTATGCAACTTCTTTCTGTTGTAGCTTAGCTAAACATTCAGGCAAAATTTCGCAATCTTTGCGTTTCTGTTCGTAACATCTCGTAAGTTGTTCGTAACTAAATCTCATTTATAGCTTTCATAAATATCTCAGATGTTAAATTTTAACATTCATCTTTCTTTCTTTTTCAGTCCAAAGGGCATTAGCCCAGAAGGCCCGGTTTTGGCATTTTGCGTTGATTCACTTTTCAAACTGTTGCCACCAAATATTACAGCCCTGTATTATATTTAAAGAAACTGAATAATGAAGAATCTGCATAATTGCGTGCATGTTTCTCAAATTGTGATAAAAACAACGGTACCTAGAGCAATCAAATTTTGAATAATGTAATCCTCCACTGAATATGGGCATCTGGAAGCCCTAATTTGGAAATTGTCTTATTATCTATTTCATATTTTGTCAGAAAGAACTTTTGATTAACAAACTTAACGATTTCAAAGCGATTAAGGGCAACGCTGTACGGGAGCAAAAAATTATCTCCAGCGCGCGAGACTGTGTATAGAAAATTCTAAAAATGTGCGCATTTTAAAATTATTTTATGTTATTGCTGTTCAACTAAATTTTATGATTTAAGTGCGAAGAACATGATATTTAATAAATAAAGGTAACTCACAAGACGTTAAAAAAGCGCCTTTGAACGTAATGTTAATAATCTTAATATTTTTTCCTATTTTTTTTTTTTTTTTTTTTTAAATAGTAGCTCTTGCAGAGGTCATGGATCTATGGGGAATGTGTCGCGCTAAACAGTTAATACAAGAAAGTTGAGTTCCTTTTAACCGCAACCACCAACCTGTCAATTTAACCGGTCGAACGCCAGCAAAGCATCCTCTGAAGTCTGGGTGTTTTTAATATCTTTGAAAATTTAAATAATCACGTTATTCATGTAACATTGTAACTGTTTATTTACGAATGAATGCTACAATTCTTAAATTGTGAATTTAATTTAAAGTTCCAATTATGACTGAAATAATCAAGAAATTTAAACCGGTAAGCTTGTTTACGTTTAATCTGGTATTTAGATGTTTATGTTTAATTTAGTACTTAGATTTTGCAATTTTCTGTTTTAAGCGTAATATTTGTATTCATCAATTAGGTTTTTCTCATGCAATTTACAGTATGTATCGATGTAAATAATCATGGTATTGTTGTTTACATTCTACCTCCATGATTTCGAAAATCTCTTTATAATCAGTATTATAATTTTTATTCAAAATTTATTTTTCCATTGATATAGAAATGTTATTAATTTTACATATCATACCTCTAAGTTTATGGAAACAACGCTTGTTTGTTTGTCTTAAGTTTTATTTCTGATAGCTAAATGCTATGAGTGTATGGAATTTCCATGTTTTTCCTATATGTACATTAATATAAGCCATTTTTCATTAAACAGATCTCTGCAAAAACATCTTCCCATCTAAGAGAGTGCTTTGCTATTATCAAATAACCTAATGTAGTTTTAAAATTATAGACTGAGAAGTAATATGTTTGCAATGCATCTACATAAGTAATAGAAATTTACCATTTCAGCAAAACTTATTTATATTCTTTTTCATAACATTAATTTATTAGTGCTCATGAACAAGTAGTACTTAGGTGCTGATAATCGACAAATTTATACATGCCTTTGTGAATGTGGTAACTTTAAAATTTGTGTTCCTAAAATGTATGTCAACTTGTACTGCTTAGGCATCTGGTAAACATTTTTATAAACTTACTAATTGCTAAACTTTTTCTCCTTACCAAGCTTATGCACTCAAAAATAAGCTCATGTATTTGTTTTTAAATGCAGAAATATTCAAATTGCAATTATTAGTGACAATAATAACAAAAGCAACAAAAAATATTATGACCTGTTTTCCTCGGGGCTGTTGGGCAAAACATTGCAGGTTTAATAAAATTTATGATCATGTCGTTGTTGGCCAAAAACTGTGAAACTAATAATGTGATGCAATGTATGCTTCCTTAGAAATCTGGTATCTGGTGTTCAAAATATATTCTTTATTGACAAAACACTAGATGGTAGAGATTTCCTGACCTGAGTTTTAAAAAGCCCGTTAACTCCAGGTGACAGTAAACAAGGTTAGGGTTACGAGCATTAAGACAGGACGGCCAGGCTATAGCTTTTCATGAAAAATATAAGACAACATCAGTCTTGACAAGCTGATCAGTGGAAATCACTCTCCCCACCTGAGAAAGACCTTTACAATATCTACCATATAGCAATCACGTAGTTCGAGACAGACTTGAACTGTTACGGTCTGTACACACCTGAACAAACTAGTGAAGAATTGGTAACTCGGTACTACTTTGGTAGACAGTTGTATGGATTTTGGCGAACGATATGACTTACGGTAAACCCATTACTGGACAAGTTATTTATGATAACTGATACTTTGTTGTCATTTTATTTTTAAGATAATGCATTCTATTATGCATAACTTCCGTGTTTTAATTATTATATGCCTTCTAAATATTAAAAATCAATTTAATTTTGCATACTTCGAAATAAAAAAAATATTGTTAAAAATAATGGATTAATTTTTTGATGAACACGTTATTTTTTAAGATGGCAGGCAAATGTAAATAAATGCATTTACTACTAGTGTAAAATACTAAAGGCGCACAATGAATTGGAAGTTGATCTGTCAGCACTATCCTTATCTTCAGGGCAGATGTTTCTATTTTATTTGTCTTATAATTCCTTACTAAATGTAGTATTTCATCTTGATGTACTCCATCTTTGATATGATTTAAATCAGATTCCTCATCATTATAATTCACTTCCGATAGTGAAGAAAGTGACACAGAGGTTATTGAAAATGAAAAAATTTCGATTGACAAATTAGTCGGTATTCTCGACACAGCAATTATAGGACTTGAACAGCGGAACTTAACCAAAAATTATGGCAAGAATGGCGTCAAAAA